ATGCCATACTCTAATGGATACCTGGCTACTATAATGCCAAATCAGTAACTGGTGATCAAGGGCATGCTGTGAGATGGGACTGAGATAACTACTTACATAGGTCAAGAATCATGAAGTGTCACTAGACCTAACTCTAATTTTGTTTAGAGCTTGACAGTTATGTGAGCACTAATATCTTCCCCCTTCCCCTTATTCTTCCCCCCTATGGTCTTACAGGGAAGATGTAGGGCAATAACTGAAAGGGTCCTAACCTGTCACAGCAGCACACTGCTGTCTTCTGTCACAAATGAGTTAGGGGGGTCTCCACCCTAAAAAAAATTAAAATACTAGGACAGCTTGGTTTTGTTTATTTTCAGAGAGAAGAGCTGCCTCTGTTTTGGTTTACTTTATGGCCTGCGTAAGAATTAGGCCAAATCTGCATGGTCATGTACTCTGCCATTATTCCTGGCCGCCACTCGAAGGAGACATGCTTTCACCCATCCTTGTTGGCTTCCCCAGTGCCTTCCTTGTGCAGCTCTAGTATTCCTATTGTTGTGTGACAAGCTAGAGCGAAAAACTGATATAAGAAAAAAAATGTTTGGTTTTCAGCTGCACTAATTAGACCTCTGATCCTACCTCTGATCAAACAAGCCTACTGATGAAAGAGCAGAAGAGGCAATGGAAACCCACGGTTAGGACAGCCCTTCTGACGGCAGCCCAGATGTAAACCACAACTATCCCAAAGCAATAAGGACTAGGACAGGGAGGTGAGGACCTTGATCCTGGGGAATTGAGATGCAACACCTGGCAAAACTTAAACAAGCACCGCTCTGCAGCCAAAATGCACATGGGCCATGAAAAGCGACCAACCACCCTAGGTTAAATTTGAAGCACATTGGCAGGGCAGCAGAGCGACAACAGGGCTCAATCCCTTCACTGTGCTTAACACATCGCATTTATTTCTTGGGTGTTCAGTCTAGTCCCCTTCCATTAACATCATACTCAATTAAACCCCCAATTTCCTTCCTGAAAGACAAATAAGCGTTGATATCATCAAATGCATTTCACAGGTGGTGAAGATACTCTCAAGCTTTATTTACCGCTCCTCTTTACATTCACCAAATGTAACACGGGGCTTCTAAAAACCTGCTAGCCCAGTCGCTGACGGGGAGCTTGATGCTTACAGGTCAAGAACCGAAAACAGTTCACAGACCAAAGGACGGATAAAGCCATAATGTAGGGGAGGCAGAGGATTTTGCTTTGCTGGCTGACGAAGAGCCGTGCTGCTCTCAGCAACACGGACGGTGCTAGGGATGGGCTCTCAGGGCAGGGATTCGGGCAGCGCGATTTACAGCAAGCTCCCAAAATTCAGCTTATGGACAAGCGCGCTCTGCGACGCGCTTCGGGTGCCTGTAGAAACGGTTTGTTACCGGGGCCGCTTACTGATTCTCCTCCGAGAGCAAGAAGCGATCGCTGCCGGTGAGCGACGGCTGATTTCCCCGCTGCTCTGGGACGCCCTCAGGCGGGGAGCAGGCACCGAGGGGACTTACTGGGCTGCCTTCCTCCCTGGCGGCGAGGCT